CTCTCTCTCTCTCACACACACACACACACACACAAACACGTACACTCACGCGGGTTCCTCCGCCGCCGATCTGACCGCTGCTCATCAGCTGGCCACCACCACACGCAGCAGGATATTTCTAGTCGGCTGGCATGTTCGAGTTAGTGCTGGCCGAGGCACCTGTGCGTGTCGGTGCTGCCTTGGTTCTTGCTCGCAGATTCGCCGATTCTCGTCGTTTTCGGTGGACGAGCGCGCGACGAGGAAGGGACAGAAGGGAGCCTTGAGCAGAGAAGAGAAACGGAGGCGGAAAGAAGCCTTCGTCACCGTGTCACGGAGGCCGAGCAACATGAGCGAGACGAGGAAGACGTCCGCTGGAAGCTGGAAAAGGCAGCAGGAAGAGCAGCCGAGCAGGCCCAGGGAGCCGATCAGGCCACCGAGGACCAGGGCGACGCAACAGGCTCGCCACAATGCGGCAGCTATCGATCGACGCGAGAATCGCGGTGCGCCCCGTTCGACCAGCGTGAAACCAGCTTAAATAGCGAGAGCCGGGCTTAGGTTTAATCGTATTCGAAAGTTTGATTGCCGACGGCGAATTGCTTATATTTTGTCAGAAATCTCGGAAGACAAGGGGGCGGGGGGACACCTCGCCCCGTGCCACGGTCTGCACACGGCGAAATCGTCGATCGAGATTTCATTTCGAAATGAGAAACGCGCGCGCAGCTTTGATTCGGGACGAGGTATCGGGTTTGCTGAAAGTTTGCTCGTTGACGAACGGGATTGGCTTGTTGTCAAATGCTGCCGGGAATGCGCAGCAGGAGTAACACCGATACCAGAAATCTGCCGATCGGCGATATAACGATGGAAAATCTGAAAATCGACGCGAAACGTCGCGACAGTTTTCGAGGCTTTCGAGCAAATTAATGGAGTATCTTGATTATTCTCGATAATGGCCAAAGTATGATTTTACAACTGTGATGAGAAATATTTATATAATCGAGCGCGAGATCGTGAGACTGGTTGAATTTGATGCGTCATGCGTTTGCAAATAACATTGGATATATCGCGGATGGAAAAAAAAAAAAAAGCGCGCGAATCTGCAAATAAAGCTAAAAACGCGAGACCGCAGCTTTCGAGAGCAGCTAGAATTTTGTTTTAATTGAATGTGAGGGAGCTCGGTCATGGAAATTGGCGTGTTTCCAAAACCTCGGAAACGCAACAGATTTGCGGCAATGAAACCGCTCACCGGAATGCCAAACGTTCGAAGTTCATTGTAGTACTAAACGAACGATCAAGCATAAACGTAGAAAGTGCTTCGTGTCGGAGCATGTAATATTTTTTAATTTCATTTACGAATCTCTCGATGATCGTTGCAACTTTTCATGAAATCTTTCGCGGTTCTTCTTGCCTTACGATTCTTCCGTTGGTTCCGTCCACGATTCGTTTCTAGAGATTACTTGCAAAGAAAATGTACGTACATACCAGGTGAAATGGGCTAAACGTGCGTTTAAAAATTTGCTTTCAGTCAAGAAAGTTCCGATGACGACCCTCGATGAGAACGTGAACCGTGTTCCACGGGTATACACAAACGAACGAGTAGAAGAAGGTGAGTTTCTTCTCTTTCATTTATTCTTCTTCTTCTTCTCAATATAGTTCTCGAAGACAAATGATCCTTTCTTTATTTCTAAT